GGGGGGTGGGGGGGTGGTGTGTGTGTTGGGTGTGGGGGGTGTCCAAATGAACATTTTTTTTTAATGTGGGGGGCCTTGTCCCCTTCACATATAATGGTTGCAACGCCTATGTACGCATACCATTTTTGATTTGTTTTATTTATTGTGCCACACTTTGGTCCAACTTGCAAGTTTTTTAATAAATAACTTGACATTGACATAGATTGTGATTGTTTTACTCTAACCTCATTAGTTTTGTAGCAGTTGATCTAAACGCTGTTCTTAATACATTTATACTACCATTAATTTTGATTTACTCATTATTAATCTGGCAGAAATGTATGTTTATGCTTGTGAATAACCATGGCAGTCTATTCCTCCAAACTCAGCCCTTTCAAAGAGCTATCTACAACAGGTAAGATATTAACTGTCCATAACTTCTCCACAAAACCCTCTTCATAGCATCTGAACTTTTGCTTCAAATATAAAAAAAACCACATTACAGAATATACTTGAATATACTATACCATTCAGACACTAGAACACGTGGATGAACATGTAAAGCCCAGCAGAAAGGCTGGATGACACTTTAACTATGAAGAGGCCAGCAGCCGAGCCCAGAGAGGCCAATTAGCTTCAGAGCTGAACCAGAGTCTGAGGGCGAGCTGGACATCTGGGTGGATCTTATTAGTGTTGTGGCTCTCCTCTCTGGTTCCCTCGAGAAAGCCTTGTTTTGTGATATGGATGGAGCGTAGCGGGGAAGTTGAAATCTGATGTTGGTGCATGTTTCACCTTGAAGAACAGTCAGTCTCACAGCAGCTGAAAAGCCAGCACCCATTAGCTGTGAGTGGAGTGAAATAACGTCAGGCACACCTAATGGTGGCGCCCACTTTGCTCACAATCAGGACAAGTCACCGCTGACATGTGCCATTTATAGTAATGGTACCAAAGGATGTGGCTCACAGGCCGGATGGAGCCCCTTTTAAAGTTTATTTGGCTCTCACAAAACGGACGAGTCCCAAACAGGTTTGTCTGAGTAAAGAGCTGCTTTCATGGCTCGAGCCTCGTGTGAAGGTTGCCACGCTCAAACAGACAATCTCTGGTTAACTGTGACAGATGAGAGATGCATGTTCTTTAAGTCAACAACTATAGTGTTTAATTAAGTTACATTGAGAAATTTAATTTTAGTCAAACTATCAAAGTTGAAAATGTTGGCCTCATGCAATATTGCCAGATGTTACGCTCAGAGTATGTGCTGTGAATGACCATTCTGAATATGGCTGGCTGCAAAAGTTGGTCATTTATAGACGTGCAATGATTGTTTTGTGCAAATTCCATTAAAATCTGTCCAGTGGTTGATGAGATATTTTGCTAACAGACAGACGTAGTTGACTCCGAACAGGTAATGGCCAAATTTTAAAAGAAAAAAATTGCACAACCTGTTGGCTCTCATAATATTTGTCTGGGATAAGTTTTAGCTACTGCCACACCAAATGTTAGATCAATTTCTATATAACTGACTGACTTATAGTCACTTTTGTGGGTTTTAATTTCAGTTAGTTGTAGCACCCAGCTTAAAGTGAAGTAACTGAAAATGTTAATCAGTTGTGGAGGAACATCCATTGATCACTTTCTGCGAGTTTCATTCCAATTCATCCAGTGGTTCGTGAGACATTTTGCTAACAGACACACACACTCTGACAGACAGGCAAAATCACAGTTTTCCGACTTCGTCTTTCGGCGGCGGGTGATAACTATTGCACAAATTCTATTTTTATATTTGTAATTGAATTTTAACGGCTCTGCCATCAGACATGTAGCACAACAGCGCCCCCTGCTGGTGCACAGCGGGACATCCTTTACCTGCAAATTGAGTCGGCAAAGAAACAACAGAAACTGAATGCATCTGTTGTGGTCCAACTTCGACTCTTCTGTTACAAAAACAAACAAACAAACAAAAAACAAACAAAAAAAAAACCTGACGCGTGCAGCTCCCTCTTTATTTAAACTGCACGAGCCTTTCCTGCTCTGACAGTGGAGGGCACGTGTTCCTTCACACCTCACACCCAAATGGCTGCACAGGCTGATAAAGAAAGGATAACAAGTTCAAAGTAACAAAAGTTTAGCCAACAAAAATGCTGATTAGAAACTTAAACACATTTGCTACAAAAATAAATAAAATAAAATACACTTGTTCCACCTCGAACCTTTACGCGCCAGACGAACTTTATTGAACGATGCAAGTTTTTGTTTTTGCGCACCGTTTTGCGCAGTAATTTATATAAAGGTTCAACTCTCCATAAAGTTTTTATGTTGTTTTTCATTTTAAGTTTGCGTTCAGAGTGAAGTAAAGAGGCCATATGTTTGTTGTTTGCTGAAGTGTCACTTCTCACCTTCCCATGGTTCATGGAAACACTTGGGGACGCGTCAATTCAATTTGGCACGAGCTGCCAGGCTCCAATAAATAGGAGGAGGGCTCCTGCCTTCTGCCCTTCTGCCGCACATTCCTGTCGGGACTTTTACGCGCAGGTCTGATCAGAGGAGACATGGAGAGCAGCAGCGGATCTGTTTCTGCTCCGCAGTGCAATTTGTGGAGACCTTGGAACCAAACGGAACGCACCCAGAGGACGGTGAGGTTTGGATCCAATATGATGGTTTTTTTTTTTCTTTAAAAGTGGAAGCTACAGAAATGTATTCTGCTTAAACTTCCAGGCTCCTTCTTTGCACGGGGACCTTTCCAGCGCGCAACCCAAGATTCAGCAAGTCACTCACCCTGTGAAGTAAGAACAGAGTTAAAACGTTGAAACCTGTTTTTTTTTTTTTTATTTATTTCCGCCTCTCACTCGGTTCCTCCTCCTGTTTGAAGGTTGCTCTGGCCCAGATCGAGGTGCTTTGATTATCTGTACCGGGAGGCAGAAATGCTTTTGCGCAACTATCCCATCCAAGCGACCATCTGTCCTTATGAAGACTCCAGCAGTGATGAAGAAAGCGAGGATGAGGAAGGGGGGGACACAAGCAGAATAATGAATTAAACTTGCATTACTTTGAAAACTAACTTCTCCATATTTATATCCAACCTAATTTATTCCTGTAAATAACTAACATGTATATGAATCTTCCTTTTTGCAACAATGTAAATGAATTTTAAGTTATTCTTAAAAACATAATCTTGTGTCCTTTTCATTGCAATAAATATAAATTAAATTAAGGTTGTTCACAGTATCGTATTTGTCTTTCACTGTGTCATTATAGTTTGGAGCTATTACGCGTTTATGTGACAAAAGAACAAAACTGTACATTCATTCAGTGCCTGTTGCAAAATAAGGCAGTTTAAATTAAAATGAGACCACATAGGTTCATTTTAATTGAAAACTTTCATGTTTTCTGATGTAAAACAAACATAACATATAGATAATTTAAACTAGGGCACTGTCTTTCTGTTCTAATTGATGTTTCATCCCATGAAAAGTACAAGTTGTTAATAGTTCCATTTCTTGTGCCGGAGGTGCTGTGAGGGGTGGAGGGTGGAAACAGTCAGGGGAGAACAAAGATGGCAGAGATGGATCACTACATCTGGATACGTTTCTTCTTTATACACATAATTTAGATTTAGGATTTGCAGTTTCAGCGTTTAGGCTGCATAACATGATTGATTGTAGTTTTTTATTGGACAAAACTATAGATTCAATGTAGAATCTGTTAAATAAAATTCTAATTATGATCATCCTTTAGGTGATAATATGAAAAAAATCAGCCACAGTTGTCTCCTTATAGTTTGATGCCAAAATGTTTTTGCCCATGTCTGTTTAATGTGTCTCAGTTAGCAAAATATCTCATGGACAAACTGTAATGAAACTCACAGGAAGTAGTTATTGGATGTGCAGCTACAGCTGATTAAAGAGTCAACCTAAGTCATGGTGGCTGCCTCACAGAGTCCATGCCGACACAGTCAGTTTGACACCCGTTGCGTTCAAATGAGACGTGGTAGTAGCTGAGAGTCATCCACAACTGACGCAATATTTTGCACTGTTGCATAAGATTGTGCATAATGTTGTTTGTGATAAAAAAAAAAAAAAAAGGGCCTCAAGTCGCATTAAAATCGTTAAATAGAATTCATAAACGGGTGCAAACATAACCCTTTTGTCATTGGGAGACAGCAAAGATATGAATACATTTAATTTGTGGAACATAAAGTAGATTACTCCCTCAAAATCAGATTATTATTATTAGCGTCTTTACGCAGTTCTACAACAAATACGTCTTCGTGCCGACGATGGATTCAAACTCAAGCGACCCTGTCATTGATGAAAATGTTCTGCCTCTACACGTTCCTGATAACTTGACTCAGAATTGTTCAGATTTAGTCAATTTATTTGAAGTGATGTAACTGGATGTTACAAACTCTGACCATTCTTTTCAGCGCCTTGCTGGTGAATGTAAATCCTGCTGAAAGGTTTGCTGACCCTTCATTTGCTCTAGCTCACAGTCATCCAACAGTTCAGCTCCTGACCAGCCGTGTCGACGTGTCGACTTCTGTCGTCTTTGTGCGGGAACGTTTCTTCTGTGCTTTGCAGAGTGCAAAGTTTGCACCTTGTGATGGGAAACGTGGTGTCCCTCTTCTGCAGGGGTGGACAACTACCGTACGAGAAACAGAGAATATTGTGGAGGGCTGGGCCAAACGACTTAACTCAATTCAATTCTGCATAATATTAATTGTATTTCTTTATTAAAAGCTGTAAATCACATCGTTTCAAAACTGGTGAGGGTATATGTTATGATTAAGCAATGAAAAAGTGAGCTTTCCTTACAAAAAAAAAAAAAAAAAAGTCATTTCTTCCATTAAATTTACCAAACAAAAATGAAAACAATGCATTCGGCATCTGCTTTTCTTTTTTAGCATGAGTGGACATTTTTGAGGGCTAACGTCGATTTAATCATACACTTGATTTACGTATATATTTTGAATAAAAAAAAAACCTTCAAAATAAAAGCAATACATGATGTAAACTTAGAAAATGTGTTTATTTTGTAATTCCCCTTCCACGGGCCGAGCACAGTCAAGCAAAGGGCCGTATGTGGCCCGGGGGCCGTACAATGCCCAGGTCTGCTCCACCGCCTGTTTCCCCTCACGTTTTCTGCTCCGAGGACACAAGACATGAAAGTTTACACGGCACCAGTGCTCAGGAACACAAAGCTCCTGTAGATTTGAGACCGAAGGTTGGAAAGTCTAAAAACTGAGCACAGAAATGGAATCATCGTTACAACGCTGAGGTGAGGAGTTGTGAAGAAGTGATCAAGTTCTCACGTCTTTTCTGGACTTTCCCATGTTTGGGCGTCACTTGCTGGTGTGAAGTTTGCTCAGATCTATCGTTGAATGTAAAACTGATCGGAGCCTGGCGCTGCTCAGGTTTACACACACACATAAATAGAATTGCACAGATTGTTGGTTTCAGTGCTAAACTGAACTGCTCCCTGCATGTTCTGAGTCATGACATACAACGATGATGTTTTTATTATTAGCTTTATAATCTGCTCCTGAACACTTACTTTGGAGAGTGTGAATGTTGGCGTCCCCCCTGTGAGCTTCGGCCACATTTAATGGTGTGATCTCATCACCGACGAGGTGACGAGGTGTGACTCCACCAGACTGAGACTGAAGCAGCAGCTTCCCACAGTCACACCTGAACACCGGGGGCTAAAGCCTTCTGACAGTCACATTTACCAGTTAACACAGTTAACTTCAGTTTAGGATCTTTTTTTTTTTAAAAAAAGAAGTTGTTTCAGTGATATTTGACCTTTAGAGTTTCAGAGGAACCAGGTTTTGCTTTGAAACAAAACGGTTATTTATAACTTGATTTTTGCTCTTTCAAGTGTCCATGTAATTTCCGAACATCCAGTTTAATATGCCTGTCTGACATAAAACGATACTATTGCTAATATTGATAATAATAATACCCATTTAATTAACTCCAGGCTTTACACTTTCATTAGTATGTGCAAACATATTAGCTCTAAATAAAAAAATATCACTCATTACACTCAAAATGGCAGAAACAAGCTTTTTTTGTTTGTTCTTCATTTAAGAACAGCAACAAAAACAACAACAACAAAATAAATAAATAAAATAACTAAGACGTCCAAAAAAAAGCAAAAAAAAAAAAAAAAAGAAGATATGTTTCATCAACCACTTCAGAAAGTGAAATTCACATCTATACATACATTTATTACACATAGAGATCAATATTTCAAGCCTTTATTTCTTGTCATTTTGATGATTATGGATTACATATGATGAAAAATCAAATAACACTAAGAGAAAGTTCCATATTGGAGACTCATGCACAGATAAGTAAGTATTATAGCACCTTTCACAGACAATAACATCACAAAGTGCTTCACAAGCAAAACAAAAAAAAGAAGAAGAAGAAGTAAATAAAATGTAACTAAAAGCCAGTCTGAATAAATAAGTCTTAAGATCATTTTTTAAAAGAGTCAGTGGAATCTGAGCAGCGCAGTGACACAGCGTTCCAAAGCCTCGGGGCCACCACTTGGAATGCTCTGTCTCCACGTGTTTTAAAGTAAGATCCTGGTACCATCAGCAACATTTGATTTGAAGATCTCAAAGTCCTGGTGGGACAGAGAGGCTTTAAAAGGTCCGATAAATATTTGGGAGCCTGACCATGAAGTGCCCTGAAAGTTAGGACCAACATTTTAAAATGACTCCTGAAATGCACGGGGAGCCAATGCAGAGAGGCCAGAACAGGCGTTATGTGAGCTCTTCTGGGGGTTCTAGTTAGCAGCCTCGCTGCAGCATTCTGCACAGACTGAAGGCGAGCTAGGGAAGATTTATTCAGATCCATTAAAAGGCTGTTACAGACACATTACTGTAACGTTTCAAAATAAAACCTAAAGGGCGTAAATACAATAAAAAGAGGACTGGGCCCAAAACTGAACCTTGGGGTACCCCACAAGACAGCTGCGCAACATCAGAGTGAACGTTATTCATAAAAACAGTAAAAGACCTTTCGGATAAATAAGAAATAAACCAATTTAAAACAGTGCCAGAAATACCAAATGGATCTCTCGGTCTATTGATAAGAACAGTGTGATCCACTGTGTCAAAAGCTGAAGTCAAGTCCAATAAAACCAACAGTGTAGTTTCCAGAATCAGCTGCCTTCAACACATCACTAGAAACTTTTAATAATGCTGTTTCTCACGTGGAAGCTCATGTGAAGCTCATGAGGCATACTCTCCAAGTCAAGCCACTCCTGAACCAGAAGTAATGTAAGAAGTGTGTTATTTGCGCTAAGGTCTTCAGAAAACTCAGTGGACCAACATCAGCAGAGGACATGGCCCCAAACCATCACTATCTGTGGAAACTTCACCCTGGAATTCAAGCAACATGGATTCTGGTCCTCTCCACTCTTCCCCCAGACTCTGGGACCTTGATTTCCAAATGGCATGAAAAGTTTACTTTAACCTGAAAAAAGGACATTGGACCACTGAGCAACAGTCCAGTTCTTTTTCTCTTCAGCAGGTAAGACGCTTGTGTTGTCTCTGGTTCTGGAGTGGCTCGACTTGAGGAATGAGACATTTGTTTGTGCACAGCATGAGTTTCCAATATGGAACTTTATCACAATATTCTAGATTTTGGAGACACTGAGTTTTAGTTTTTCATCATCTGTGAGCCATGAACATCAAAACTGCAAGAAATGAAGTCTTGAAATATTCCACTCTCTGTCTAATGAATCTATATATTATAAGAGTTTCACTTTCTGAAAATATTAACAAAAAAATGAACTTTTTTTTACTATATTCTAATTGTTTTAAATGTACTTGCATGTGATCCTTTGATTTCCAAGTTGAATTTACATTTTAACGCAACGTAACGTGTTTGACCAACAGGTGGAGCGAAATGGCTAAAAATAAACGATTGTTGACAGAGCTTGTGATGTAATGACAAGTATCTACCACCAGGGGGCGGTGACGTACCAGAGCGAAAATGTTTAAACACAAACCAGAAAACTACAG